AGTGAAGGCAGAGTCCGTGGCTCAGTGGTAACACACTCGCCATGCGCTTCGCCAGCGATTTGGCCTAGGTTCATATCCTGGCCGGGGAGGATTGACTAGGCGCCAATCCTTAACTATACGCCTCTCTTCACCCAGCAGTGAATGGGTACCTGGTTGTTAAACAATTTTGCGGGACGTATTCCTGAGGAAAATTAAGGACCTGCCAGAAACGCCATTCGTGGTAGTGGCTATACAAGTATGTAAGAACTTGTATATATGAATAAGTTACTATAGGTTAACTATATACTATAGGTTACTAAAATATATAAGGTTACAGTCCACCTTCCCTCTCTCTCGTATAGCAACTGGAGCTGAAGCACTCGCTACCTGCTATTGTGAAGGTCAGGGTCCTTAGTGGTGGCTGGGAGTGGTTTGGTGACCTTGCTAAATGCTGTGGTGAAGCGATTAGTTTCCTTACCTACTGCCTGAATCATCTCTTTCTCTCTCTCTCTCTCTTTCAGGATTATGTGAACACAATGTAAATGTGGATACAATATACATGGACATACTGAGTGAACAGTGTATATATATATATATACATGTATATATATATATATATATATATATATATATATATATATATATATATATATATATATATATATATATATATATATATATATATATATATATATATAAGGCACAACTCTCCTAAACATGAGAGTGAAGTATACAACTTTAGAACACTTTCCCACCAGGAGACTCGAACCCTAGCCAGCACAGAAGCCTTCCAGCAACTGGCATAACAGGTACGTTATGGTTAAGGCGTACCTGTTATGCCAGTTGCTGGAAGGCTTCTGTGCTGGCTAGGGTTCGAGTCTCCTGGTGGGAAAGTGTTCTAAAGTTGTATATATATATATATATATATATATATATATATATATATATATATATATATATATATATCCAGCAGGCAATTATCTAATTGCCTCTATAAAGCTAATTAAATAATAGTTTTTTTCTGTCTTGCGGTACACGTAATACCAAGCAATTTATTATTGAGGTCCGTTGGTGAGGTACAGTGAAACCGGTTTATGTGAGGGCCAGGGAGTGGGAGTGTTGATGTTTGGGGTGGGAGAGGTTTGGATGTCTGGGTGGGGAGTTCGCGAGAGGGGGGGGGGAGTACTTGGGAGAGGGTGGGGTTGGATATTTGGGTGGTGGGTGGTAGGGGGGAGTTTGGAAGGATGGGGGTATGGGATGTATGGGAATCGAGTGGGGTTTGTGGGAGAGGTGAGACACATTTAATGAGGTTATGAAAATAACTATTAAGGACATGATAACAACATACAAGATTTTAAGTGAAATTTACAAAGTAGACAAAGTAATATTGTCCAAAGCTGATAACATAAAAAAAGAGGAGTCATAACTTAAGACACAAATGACTCACATAGATGTGATAAAAAAAAATTTCAGTGTTAAAGTTGTCGGTAAGTAGATTGGGTTAAATATATAATTGGTGAAGATATATCAAAGTATAATTTCAAAATAAATCCCATATGAAATGTATGGGAGGTGAATGAATGCCTTCAACTAAGCATCTTTGGAAGGTGGAGCAAGGAATCGAGGCTCTGCCCTGCTAGCACATGTAGGTGAGTACAGAAAGACAATCATAAATTTCGACAGGCAGAGATTGAAGTCGGTGAGATGAAGGAAAGAAACAAAGAATGGTGAAGCGGTCACGTGCAGGTGTTAAATAACTTATTCTAATTATAGGAGCCCCACTTTCGCTACCAATTACTCTACACCCACACACCACACACCCACCCTCACCCACACACCACACACCCACCCTCACCCACACCCACACACCACACACCCAGCCCTCACCCACACACCACACACCCAGCCCTCACCCACACACCACACACCCACCCTCACCCACACCCACACACCACACACCCAGCCCTCACCCACACACCACACACCCAGCCCTCACCCACACCACCCACCTACCCATCCCGCACCACTATCCACCCATACATCACCCAGCCCCGACCAATCAACAACCCACACATACCCAAACACCTACCCCACACCAACCCACACCTCCTTACCACCGACCCAACTCATTCTAGCACAAACTTCTGGCTAGGATCAGATAACATAATACCTCAAATTGTCATATACAGAATATTTCCTGTTTATCTTCAATCTTAATCATTCATCATCTCATTGTTAAATTTGCAAATCATATTTCATCTATCCAAATTGCTGAAGTCAGTAATTACGTCATAAAGCAACCGAACCCTCACAGCCAGATTACGCTAATGCAACTTTTACCTCAAAAATGATAATATATTTAGTAGTGTCTAATTATTGTGTCATAAAGTAGCTACTTAGGTTTAATGGTTTGGTCTTAATGGTCTCACGGGTATTGTATGGATTTATGATTTATTGTCTCATGGAACTAAGTAGGTTAGGTAAGGTCGGTGTTTTCTATGAATCTTTTTAAGGGTATCTATTATGTTAAGTATGTCACCTATGCACATATTTAATAAGTCAATATTGACTTATTAAATTTGCGAGAACGGGTTGGAGCATTGTTTGGCTTTACGACTTATTGTCGCACCACAATACAGTTGTTCCGACCAATAAGCATGCAGTCTGCTTTTCTGATTTGTCCCTCCGTAAAAAAATGCAACTCTTTTGCACGACCAGAAACGTACTAACCCAAGCAACCCACCTAACCTATCGAGGAAGTGGTATAGAAAACGTCAATATTACTGTGCTTTAATGTGAATAATTCGTTGTAATCTTAATGACTTGGTCGATTGCGTAATAAATGCAATGTATTAGGTGAGAGGACGGTTTGGATCGAGCACCTGGTGCTGATCAGGGCTTGTTTGACCTAATTACTCGAGTTGTGTTGTGGTTCCCAGCTGTCTGTACATTCTCTAGGTGTTTGTGTGTGTGTGTGTGTGTGTGTGTGTGTGTGTGTGTGTGTGTGTGTGTGTGTGTGTGTGTGTGTGTGTGTGTGTGTGTGTGTGTGTGTGTGTGTGTTTTGAGGACTTTTTAGTTTAATACAATACTTGTCTCAGTTTTTTCTTAGTTACATATAAAAGGGAGTTTTAAAAATGACTTATCTCTGTATTGTTTCCGTTCATGTCCCCTCGCTGTCCCATTTCCCAGTCTGAATATTACTTCCCTGGTTACTTTGTATAATTTCCCTTGGAATCTTGTATGTAGTTATCATGTCTCTCTCTATTATTCCTTATTTTCTCAAGCTTTCCTACTCATTTTCATTCTCGTATTCTTCACTATACATCGCGATCCTCATCTTGATTACATTCAAAATAACAGTTATTTGAAGTCATAAATACTAGAATTGCATGGCAATCTCAGTGATGTCATAGGACCATATATAGTGACATCACACACACCCCGTGATGTCATGAGACAAGGTAGTGACATCACACGCTCAGTGAGATGATTCCCACGTGAGCATTCCCGGAACAAAGACATGATAATTAATCTGGATGCTGTAACAATGATGTCAAATTAATTCAGGTGGTTTAATAGGTCGAAGAGTTCATTAACGATGACACCTTCGGAAAGAGAACGCCTGACAGACACACACAACAGACCTATAGCACTTTATTACTTTTAAGTTGACAGCAATGTTGGAACAATGCTAAAATCCAACGTTGTTCAATGTTAAATACAACGTTTGAACAATGCTAAAATCCAACGTTGTACCAATGTTAAATACAACGTTTGAACAATGCTAAAATCCAACATTGTACCAATGTTAAATACAATGTTGGAACAATGATAAATAAAATGTTGGAACAATGATAAATACAATGTTGAATGAACGTTAAACTGCAACGTTGCAACAGTGTTAAAAATACAATATTGTATCAGTGTTATAACCGTTGTGGTTACGACTGATGAGATGTATACAGCTTCTCGTTGTATTTAATTCCCGTTATTGGGGACATGAAGCCTGTACTTATGTTTACTGAGGTCCCCCCTAGGCCACCTACCAACCTTTCTCAAGATGCAACCCCACAACAGTTGTCTATAACTCCAGGGGGTTCCAATTTTACTCCTAGGTCTATCCAGAGGTTGATAGGTCTTAATAACCATCCAAAGGTTCATAGAACTTTAATAACCCTCCTGAGGTTGATTCGCACTAAACAAATCATGTTAAAAAAAACCTAATGCATGAAACGTATTAGAGAGGAAACAGAGCCCCTAGAAACACCGCAGTAGATGATGAACCTCAATCATGTACAAAAGCAGTGTATGAGTATCGTCAAGGATGCAGCATTTATTATAGAATAAATTTTATATAAACATTCACATAGAAGGAAGAAATCAAAGGTTAGAAACTTGAAATTTTAAAATTTTGATTTACCTTGAGGAAATTCTTGTAAATATTCAAAGTTATGGCATAAGATTCACCATAATGGTGATTGAGGTGGACCATATATGAATGAGATAGGACAACAGATTATCAGATCTGATATATGATCACTATATTCAAACTATTGAAGGGGGGATTAACAAGGTGGACAAGCGCAGCCTCTTTAAATTGAGAGAATATTTTTTATGAAAACGATTCAAAGAAATTTAAAGAAATATTCGTATTGTGGTTGGATAGTTAACAAGTGGAATGCACTGAAAGAGGAAGTCGTGGAAGCCAGCTCTATCCACAACTTCAAGAACAAATATGACAGATAACGCGAACGTTCAGACTGTTTAAATAATAAACATATCAGAAACTTCTTTGTACATCTTAGGTAAAGCAGCATCTTCTCTTCCTTTCACTCTTCTTCCCTCTCTCACCCTCCCTTACCCCTCCCTCTCTCACCCTTCCCCTACCGTCTCCCTCTCTACCTCCCCCTACCCTCTCCCTCTCTCACCCTCCCTCCCTCTCTCACCCACTCTTACCTTGGAAGAGGCTGAGTATATAAGTCAGCAACTCTGGTTAACACTTACACTCTCATCACACCAACATGAAGGTGAGTTGCAGTCATTACAGTGAAATATACATCATTGTGGTTCTTCCTAATATTGTTGTGTCATTGTCATTGTGAACGTCAGTTGGCCTATTGTCCAGTTAATATTTACATTGTATAAGCTGACGCATTGTTTATATTGTATTAGCTGATAAATTTATCAATTGTTTACATTGCATTAGCAGAGGTATTGTTTACCTTCAATCCGCTATTGTATTGTTTACACTGTATCAACTGATGAAATTTGTAGACACAATAAATACATCGCATTTTGACGTCAAAATATGATAAATCATTAGCGGCTCACACTCATCCAGGTTTCCTTTGCATGGGTCGCTAAGTTGGGTTCGGTGCTCAAAATATTGGTGGTGTCATAGTTCTGGTTATCACTTGCTGGCTATCATGTTCGTTGTTCCTCTACACAGGTCGTTGTTGCTCTAGCCATGGTGGGTGTGGTGGTGGGTGTCCCGCCCCACTATGGTTACTCCCCCGCCCCGACCTACACCCCCACTCCAACCTACACCCCAACTCCATCCTACCACCCAGCTCCATCCTACCACCCAACTCCATCCTACCACCCGGCTCCGTCCTACAGGCCAGCTACAACCTACGTCCCAGCTCCGTCTTATGATGTGAGTGATTTGTGAATTATGCCAACTACCTTAGTGATAGAATGCTTTGTTACTCAAATATTATCTGATTATTATATAAACATGTGATTTGATTTTATAATACTTCCACAGTCACCTGCCCAGTACGACTTCAACTACGCCGTGAAGGACGACGCCTCAGGTAATGACTTTGGTCATCAGGAGACCCGTAATGGCTACGACACCCAGGGGTCGTACTACGTGCAGCTTCCCGACGGTCGTGTGCAGCAGGTCACCTACACAGTCAATGGTGACTCTGGCTACGTGGCCGAGGTCACCTACCAGGGAGAGGCCAAGTACCCTCACTACCAACCATCCTACCAGCCTGCTCCATCCTACAAGCCAGCTCCATCCTACAAGCCAGTTCCATCCTACAAGCCAGCTCCATCCTACAAGCCAGCTCCATCTTACAAGCCAGCTTCATCCTACAATCCTGCCCCATTCTATAGACCTACACCATCCTACACTCCTGTTCCATCCTACAATCCTGCTCCAACATACACTCAGATCTCTCCCTACGGACTCTCAGCAACATACATATCCTAACCTGTATATAGCTATTGCCACCTTGTATTAAAATATAAAATATTTTGGGTAAATAAATCATTCTAAATTAAATTCAGTGTATCTATTCCTTTTCTTATAACTTGCCCAACATTTAAACATTAACTGTAGTTAGAGCATCCCGAAACTTTGTAAATTAACTGTGCTTGAACTACTTCAAGCACAGTTAGGAGATTCAGCAGGGATAGTCGATTCTGATTACATTCTGAGCATCAGTTAGTGTGATCTTAGAACAGTCCCAGGAAATAGGGACCTCTGAGTTATATCCTGATGTTATAGCAATAGCAGAGACAAAAATAAAAAATAATAAAGTAAATCTTCATTCAAATGCCTCTGAGTAAAATTTGTTATAGTAATTTACTATTTTTTTGATTAACAAGCTTAGGTATACACAGCAATGTGCTGCTACCCTATTTTGTATGACCTAGTTTTTTTTTATCTATATACACTGTGTAATTTTCCATAATTTACTATTAAATTGAAATTTTAATTACTTTTAAAATTTGTAATTAAAATTAAAATGATAAATTTACTATTCAAATTTTACTTATAAATTTATCATTACTTTAATTTACCACAATAATAACTTAATAATTAACAGATTTATTATTAAGTTTCAACAAATTAAAAGTTGATTGTTCTGCACGTTATATTCAACAGATATACCCAGTGTAATGTATACATATAGGTAACTTCGGTCAAATATTGAGTTACTAGCAAGTAAGCATAAATATTCACTTGCTGGTAAGTTAATGTGGCGCATTTAGTAGCCCTCCTGAGGTCGATAAGCCGTAAATAACCTTCCAAATATTGACAAGTTATAATAACCCTACAGAGATTGATAGACCTTAATAACCCTCCATAGACTAATTAATTTTAATAACTCTTCAGAAATTTATAGACCTTAATAACCTTCCAGAGATTGATAGACCTTAATAACCCTCCAGAGATTGATAGAGCTTTATAACCCTCCAGAGATTGATAGATCTTTATAACCCTCCAGAGATTGATAGACCTTAATAACCCTCCAGAGAATGACAGACTTAAATTCATAGAGTAGATAGGCCTTAATAACTTTCTAGAGGTTGATAGGTATTATTAACCCTCCAGATAATAACTCTTTGGAGACTCATGGGCCTTTATAACCCACCGGAGGTTGATTGGGCTTAATAACCCTCCATATGATTATAGGGCTTAATAACGCTCCATTTGTTATGGGATTAAAGTTCAACACATTAAACCCAAACCTGTAGATAACAAAGTGAGGTGCAAATTTAGTGAAATAATGACAGTAATAGTTACTGAAATGTTATTTCTATGCCAAAAAAACTTGACTTGATACACAACACAGTGATATCTTATTAACACTGTCACACACTCTCTCAGATGTATTACAATGTCACTACCCTCCCAGGTGTATTATACTGAACTATACTCGCTCTGAACTATATTCGATCATTTCTTAATGACAGACATCACTATGTAGCCATCAATGACATAACCTTCCCAACTCTATCATTAACCGTAGGAGCACCTCAGGGCAGCCTTTCAGGACCTCCCCTATCTCACATATACATCAATGACTTGCCAAATGTCTCTAATTACCTTATATTCATACTGTACCTCGATACTTCATTTATTCAGACCCCAACCCACGCACACTAAATAATATTGCAAGTAACGAATCCTTTCACTATACTACTCACTAATCTATTCCTATTTAACATTGTAGCTGTGCATGGGGTTCAACCACTGCAAATCACCTTAATTAAGCATATCATCACCCAGTAAACATCTGCTGTCAGAACTTTAACAAATTCTGTCTTCAGACAACACACAGCCCCTCTGTTTAAATCCCTACACATGCTGCACATACACTCACCCCAAACACTTGTGCTTTTTACATGTACAAAACCATGTTCCTAAACGATAATCTTGATCTGAAACTTTTCCTTGAAAGATGTAATAGAACCTATGAGCACCACATCAGAAATAAATATCTTTAATATCTTTAGAGTCAGACTAAATTTGTGCGAACACTCAAAGCAAATAAAAGACCCCATTTTATGGAAATCACTCCGTAATAAATTAAAAACAAAATTCCACCCTATACCTTATTCAAAAGTAAAACCAAAAAGTACCTAATTAAATCCTCATAGTTTCCTACCTTGTGTTTCAAACTCACATTGTATTTTGTGCTACCTACTTACCTAATTTTAGTACTTTAGACATACAACATCACAAGTATAATCAATACAATCCATTTTAATTGTAGCTATTATGTTGAAACCAAACTCTTCTAAAATGTACCTTTTTAATTACACTTTTATCTGTTAGCTTAAGGACCTGAAACACTATGCGTATTAAAGGCTTTGCAAGCATGTAAGAACACCAATGTTATGTACTCTCACAACCCAATATACCTTCTTGTAGTTAAATAATTAAATAAATGCTGTCACCACGCTCCCAGGTGCATTATAGTGTCACCACACTCCCAGGTACATTATACATTCTTTCGTCAAACCTGTTCTTGTGGCCTTGATCTTGACACTCTCCAGAGTCTCTGACGGGTATATAAGAGTAGAGGGAGTGTGGGAAGGAAGTAGACACTCTCAGAAGACTCGTGTGGGTATATAACAGAGTTCAGAGTCTGGGAAGACATTAGACTCTCAGAAGACTCATGTGGGTATATCATTGTTCTGTGAATCTGAGAAAACAGTAGACTCTCTCAGGAGCCTCATCAATATTATGGAGGTGAGACTATTATTATATTCCTTTCATCTTTATTTTAAAAATATATAATACATTATTTTGTGTTTAATCCCTTATCATTAATGATGCTTGGCGAATACCAATCCCAAACTCGACCATATATTTCACAAGTCCATATTTAGTACTGACAAATAATAATAATAATAATAATAATAATAATAATAATAATAATAATAATAATAATAATAATCGACATGTACATTTTATGAAGCCACTACTGATGTTCATGTATACAGAAAAAGTTTAGAAACTTTCGTAAACCTCGCTGTGTATACTTGAATATGTAATTATATTTACATATATGCTGGTAGTTTTGTTGAGCTTAAGAACTCTCATCCTCAAGAGGGTTATTAAGACCACACAAGTGCTCACTAATCAGCAAAATTATTTTAGCCTTAACCATGCTCGAAAATTAATATTAACCTGTGTATAATCACCGTGGAATAGTGCACATTTTTTGTGTATATTTACCAGTATGTTTGTATTTGATTTGGTATTGGATTTAAAGCCTATAATTAATTAAAATATTTATCATTTATTATTTTATTTGGCAAAAGATACACGTAATTATGAGGATTTTGTTGTTATAGGTTGTTCTTGCTGTGGTCTTGGCGGGCATTTCTGTGGTTGGCGCGTCCAATCCTCGATACACCTACTCCTTCACCCCGCCATACACGTCACCAACTTTGTTTAAGGTAAAATGTACATTATAAAAATGTAGAAGATTTTCCTGTATAGTCCAAATATATCACAATTCACTCAAAAAGTAGCATGATTTAAAGTAACTATTATAAACTTCCGTTGCCTTTCTGAGGAATATACAGTACTATTAAAATTTATACTTTATCTCAGGTCCCCATTCAGTACAACTACGACTTCGCTGTCAGTGACCGAGCGTCTAGCACCCACCTCGGTCACCAGGAGACTCGTAACGGCTACGACACCAAGGGGTCGTATTCCGTGTTGCTCCCCGATGGTCGAGTACAGCAGGTGACCTACACTGTCAACGGTGACTCCGGCTACGTGGCCGAAGTCACCTACTACGGAGATGCGAGATACCCAGCTTACCAGCCTGGGTACAGATCTCTTTCAGTGTACAACCCTATTACAGGATACAAACCTATTCCAGCATACAGACACGTTCCAGCCTTTCCGAAACATTCCAGCCTACAGTCCCCTTACTATGTATAGTTAAATCATATAAATATATGTACAACGAATATAAGCATTAACAGACGGTGTAAAATTGTCTTTGAAAATGAAAGAAGTGTCTTGCGAAGCGCTTCTAGACGTTAGAACATAAATAAAGTGTGAAAATGAACTTTAGAGAGTTAATTTTTCAACTACCTTCGACAGTGAAGTAAAACATAAGAAATATTGAGAAGATTCGTGTTAGAATCATTAATCTTACCCTTTCGGTCATATTCAACAATATATGTTTGCAAGACATATACTAATATTAAAACATATATATCTTTGCTACTACTGTTCCTTAAAATACTAATTTATAACATTAGTAAGTCATTCTCAAATCAATAATGTCTGAGTAGTGTTGAGACATGTTAAATATACTCGATATCAATTACATGGGGATCACCGAAAGTAATTTAACTTTCTATATAATAAATCTTACTATTAAACTTATTTTGAACAGAACTCGAGAAAGGGCCAACAACCTAACGTAACAATCCCAACTATAGCCATTGTAATTATAAATGCAATACATTAGGCTTATGACTACGTATACCAGGCTTGGAATAATTTATAAAAGACTTAGAAGAGGTTAGGCTTAAATTTGTAGTAAAGTTCTTGAAGATATTTTTATTTATGAAGGGTGAATTATCAGGGATATAAATGGCATTAATTGTTCAAATATATTTGCTGAAAAGACATAGGCAGCAATGATTCCTGTTCTTGATATTGTCGTATAAATTATTCAGAATCATCATAGCATAGTTATCTAGCTATGTTATCATAGCATAGTAAACTATTATCATAGTTTATTAGTAATAAATTAGTTATTATAATTATTTTGAATACGCTAGAGTTGTAATTTTGAGATACTGAATCCACAGACAGATATGTTGGTCCAGCCCGTTCTCCCGAGCGTTCCCAACGTCAAGAAACTAGTATTAAAGTGCCCTAACTTAACCTACTAGAGGACCTACGAACAGAAAACCGGACATTATGTCAATTTAGCAAGCGCTACCATTTCTTAAACACCATTTTTTGGCCTTAGCTAAAGTATACGTCAAACTGCGATGCGCTATTAGAAGAACAGGTTGAACTGGTCTGTGGAACAGATCACGTATACTGTACAGGGTGTAACAAAACTCTGTCGTTATTTTGTAAACATTATTTTCACATGACATTAAATATTTCATTTTTAAATATTTATTTTTTTGCTGATATCCCCTTTCTGTAAAATCAATGGTCAGCTCTTCCAGACCACATACATTTGACAATATAGAAAACGAAATAATTCATGGGGGTATATACACCAAGAGCTATACGGCGCTTCTCTGAATATATTCTCTGTATTTTCTGAATACAGAGAATAGCTTCTCTGAACACTGAGTCTACTTTAGTCCTGGGCTTACCCCAGGAGGAAAGAAATAGCCTTAGCTACTCTATCCTTTTGAGATGTATTTTATTGTGTCAATAAACGAACTTGAAGTATGTTCAGGACTTAAGTATACTTGCTGATTGGTCAGTTAAGTTGTTGTGGTGATCTTAGTATCCCTCCAGAGGTTGACAGGCCTTAAAGCTCAAACCAATCCAACGCCAAGTTATGTGTTTCAGAGCACCTTGACACAATGCCTTGTGTTGCAACCTCAGTACTTTTGTTGAGGTTATGTGAACGGTTGGAAAATTATCTTACTACATTATTATTATTATTATTATTATTATTATTATTATTATTATTATTATTATTATTTTGTTTACCAATTTTCTTAATAATGACATACTTTGGTTCCATATACAATCTTTTATCATCTCTAGTTTCCTTGTAAGGCTATTTCATCACTGTTAATGATCTCAGATGTAAAGCATTACAGATATATCAAACAGAAGGCGTCGACTAGGACACATGTTCCTGCTATTATACACATATTTGAACTTTGAGCTTTCAAGACATCAAATAGATGACTGTTCACTCAGTGACGGTCACAGATCCCTAAAGAGAAAGGTCTTATCTAAAGAGAAAGGTCCTGTCTAAAGAGAAAGGTCCTGTCTAAAGAGAAAGGTCCTGTCTAAAGAGAAAGGTCCTGTCTAAAGAGAAAGGTCCCTCTAAAGAGAAAGGTCCTGTCTAAAGAGAATGGTCCTGTTTAAAGTGTAGGGTCCTGTCTTACAGAATTTGGATTTTTGAATCACAAATCAATATATTGAGCAAGCCAGGAAATTATTAGCAACCCAATATGTCCTTAAGGATTTTTTTTGTATTAAATAAAGGTCGTTTGGATGGAATAATAACATTCATGTTGAAAATTTAAGTTTAATAGTAGGATTATATAAGCAAAACTCACAATTAAAGTTCCACGATCACCTTGTAATGCAAATCTAATATCTTGAACTTAACCTTGAAATCATCGATGAATCATTTGAGAATGACATACCAATGTGTAAATGACTGATTGTATAAATCATTGTTGTTATGAAATAAATATTTCAACCATACAGAGGGGTGGTTCTGTAGGCTGGGGCGGGTCGGTAGGTTGGAACAGGCCTGTAGGCTGGGACGGGGGTATAGGCCGGGGCGGGCCTGTATGCCGGGTACTTGGCCTCTCCGTAGTAGGTGACTTCGGCCACGTAGCCAGAGTCACCATTGACAGTGTAGGTGACCTGCTGCACACGACCGTCGGGAAGCTGCACGGAGTACGACCCCTTGGTGTCGTAGCCGTCACGAGTCTCCTGGTGACCGAAGTTGTTGCCGGAGTAGTCGTCGTTGACGGAGTAGCCGAAGTTGTAGCGTGCAGGAACCTGTGGCTGTTATACATAGCAATTTAGCATTAAAATATATAATTGATAAATATCTACATCAAAGGATGATAAGCGTAAGTGTATTTTGTTTATATAGGAGCTAACATAACTCTGAATATTTATAATAATAGTTCATTAGATTCATATTTACCTTATTAAAGAATAGGGCTGGGTTGTACTCAGGAGCTGCCATGGCAGCGGCCACGAGGATCAGGGCAAGGATAACCTGTTATCAAAGATATTTAATATAATCTTTTGCATTTCAAACAAATGATATACTCTTAGCAAAATACTACTTAAAATTAATAAGATCTATAATTTTAGATAAAAAATACATGAAATTATTAAACTGAAGTGAAATTATACATGAGTAATTTATTAATTGTTGAAATGTATATTTATTTTAATAAATATTGCAGAACGTCCATCTAAAAGGAATGCTTGTATTATCTATTTTGTGGAACGTACCAATATGTATTGTTGGACCCGAAAAAAATCACGTTTTATATCATTAATTTTACATACTCCGAGAAAAAACTAAAACTTTCTATTCGTGGGTCCATTGGTTAGGTTATATTCGGGAAATTTAGTACATCAATTTGTGGCGGTGTGACAACTGTTGTGACATTGTACAACAATGTACAGACTTTGGGCATATAGAGACGAAGATGAATATCAACGCTTCCCGATAACCCTTCATAACATCTGAAATCGTGCTACTTCCTTCATAGTGAATAATGAATTCGAAAATGAGCTGTACATTGTACAACAATGTACAGACTTTGGGCATATAGAGACGAAGATGAATATCAACGCTTCCCGATAACCCTTCATAACATCTGAAATCGTGCTACTTCCTTCATAGTGAATAATGAATTCGAAAATGAGCTGTACATTGTACAACAATGTACAGACTTTGGGCATATAGAGACGAAGATGAATATCAACGCTTCCCGATAACCCTTCATAACATCTGAAATCGTGCTACTTCCTTCATAGTGAATAATGAATTCGAAAATGAGCTTACTACTGGAAATGCTCTCAGTGTTCCTGAACTAATAAAAGTACTGTCTTGAAAGAAAATTAAAACCAATTCCACTTAGTGAAGAGCATGAATATATGGCATTAAACATTTATAACCCTAAAAATACCTCATTTTATATTATTACACAAAATTTAAAACGGGAATCAACCTTAATATGGCGTTTGTTTAATTGGGCGTTAAGGACATCCCAACAGCTTGCTAACCAGCCAGTAAGTCTACTTTAGACTTTTAACATTGAAACGAAAATAAACTGTGTATACGTCGTGTAGTGAGGATCGCCTCTTGTTTTATAAGTTGCTTTACTTACCTTCATCTTGTGCAGTGGACTTTAGTGTGAATACTGTCTTACCAGCGTACATCAATACATATATATACCCACTAAAGACCTTCAGTTATGTCATTATCAAGGCCACATGAACCGGTTTAAAGAGCACAACACAAGTGGGAAAGTCTTACTGGCCGCAGGAACCGGTTTAGGAGGAACAGCTTAGGTGGGAAAGTGTCATTGAGACCAAAATACCGGATGTATTGTGGATTATGTAACCTTAATGACATTTCCCAACCTGGTGTGCTCTTAATCCATCGTCGTACAAGCATCGTTTAGCAAGACCATTTTTATCTTGTTCCAGTGAGAGCTATTGAAACCAAAAGTCGAATTTTAACTAGATAGGGAAAAACAAATTTAAAACAAATTATCATAGGTATACTGGCAATTCATGAGTCTTTTGTGACTCAGTGTTGAGAAAACAATTCATAATAAAATCACAATAACGTGGTACATCTATAAGAGAATCTTTAGAGTAGTAAGGTGGGATCGAAGCTGCGTTCTGGTCACCAGGCGCACGTCTGGGATGACCCAAGACGCTCATTCGATCCCACCATATGGCTTTGAAATTGATATTGTAGCTTCTCGCAGAGGGAAGTTTGATCCAAATATACTCTTCTTTGAGGAGTTATTTATCTTTGTCAGTTACTGTTATTAAGTCAACGTGAACCAGAAAGGAAGATTTATCTTATATAGGAATCTCTGGAAGACCGACACCATTCTTGAACGTTCAGGCTAATGCAAATATTTTCATAATTCAAGTAGTCGAAATATTATGGTTATTGTCAGAAATATTGTGAAAACTTTATGTTGCATGTCTATAGCGTTCCCTGGATCAGT